GGTGCAGTGGCCGCCATCTCAGCTCACTGTGGCCTCGACCTTCTGGGCTCAAGTGATCCTCCCACCTCAAGCCCTGGCAATAGCTGGGACTACAGGGTGCAAGCCACCAGGCCTGCTAACTTTTTTTTTTTTTTTGAGGTGGAGTCTTGCTTTGTCACCAGGCTGGAGGTGCGAGTGTGTGATCTCAGTCATTGCAACCCTTGCGCTCCCAGGTTCATTCTCCTGCTCAGCCTTCCTGAGTAGCTGTAAACAGGCGCATGCCACCACACCAGCTAATTTTTAAATATTTTCAGTAGAGACAGGTTTCACCCATGTTAGCAGAATGTCTCGATCTCCTACCTCGGTTGATTACCCTCCTTGGCCTCCAACGTTGCTGGGTACGTCGTGAGCCACGCCGTGGTCGGCCTATATTTTTTTATAGATGGGAGTTTTGCCATATCACCCAGGTTAGTCTTGAACTCAATGAGCTAAAAGTCATCTGCCTGCCTTGGCCCCTCCCAAATGTTAGGATTATAGGCATGAGCCGCTGGCAGCTAGCCTTTTTTTTTTTTTTTTTTTGAGATGGAGTCTCACTCTGTCACCAGGTGGGAGTGCAGTGGCCTGCGATCTCGGCTCACTGAGACCTCTTGCCTCCCAGGTTCAAGCAATTCTCCTGGCTCAGCTTCCTGAGTAGCTAGGCTATAGGCTGCACCAACACTGGCTAATATTTTTTCTGTATTTTTAGTAGAGACAGGGTTTCACCACGTTTGCCAGGCTGGTCTCAAACTCCTGACTTCAAGTGATCCACCTACCTCAGCCTCCCAAAGTGCTAGAATTACAGGCATGAGCCACTGTGCCCGGTATCCCCACCTTTTTTTTTTTTTTAAGACAACGTCTTGCTCTGTTGTCCTGGCTGGAGTACAGTTGCGTGATCACGGCTCACTGTAGCCTCAAATTCCCAGGCTCAAGTGATTCTCCTGCCTCAGCCTCCCAAGTAGCTGGGACCACAGGCACATATCACCACGCCAGCTAATTTAATTTTTTGTAGAGATAGGATATTGCTATGTTGCCCAGTCTGGGTCTCAAACTCTTGGGCTAAAGTGATCCTCTTGCCTCAGTCTCCCAAAGTGCTGGGATTACAGGTGAAAGCTACCATGCCCCATATAAATTCTTATTTTCTAGAAACAAGAATATTCGGTTTTGTTTTCATACTTTAAATTTATTGAAAAAAAAAGCAAATTTTGTTCTCATTTTGTATGTGCCTGTGATGCATTTATAGTTTAAATTCATTGGAAAAAAAAAGCAATTTTTTAAACATTTTGAGCACTTGAGATGTTAGTCAAAAAACAGAATTTTTGCTCAGTACATACATACTGGTAAGCTCAGATAAGAACATTTTAAAAGTAGCTCAGAAGTTCGAGACCTGGGCAACATGGTAAAACCCCATCTGTACCACAAATACAAAAAAATTAGCTGGGAGTGGTGGCACTTGCCTGTGGTCCCAGCTACTCAGGAGGCTGAGGTGGGACGATCACTTGAGCCTGGGAGCAGAGGTTGCAGTGAGATGAGATCATGCTGCTGTACTCCAACGTGGGTGACAGAGTGAGATCCTGTCTCAAAAAATAAAAACAGAAGAAAAGAAAAAGTAAAATCAGTCTAAACAAACAAAGAGGACAGTAAATTTATAAAATTTGAAAATAAAAAAAAAAACTATAGATTCAAAACAAAAGACAAGGTGGAGCACAGAGGATTTATAGGGCAGTGAAACTACTCTGTATGCAGCTATAGTGACAGCCACATGTCATTATACATTCTCAAAATCAATAAATTATTCAATACCAAGAGTGAACCCTAATGTAAACTATGGGCTTTGGGTAATGTGTCAATAATGTAGGTTCATCAACTGTAACAAATGTAGCATTCTGGTGTGGAACACTGATAATGGGGGAGGCTCTACATGCCTCTGGTAGGAGAAGGGGGAATATGAGAAATGTCTGTACCTTCCTCTGAATTTTGCTGTGAATCTACAACTGCTCTAAAAAATCAAATCTATTTTAAAAAAAAGTATAGATTCAAGAGAAAATAATGAGTTAGAAAAACCATATGATCTAATCCACTAAGACATTTCTTAAATTTTTATCTCAGAAAAAATATAAAACAAATGCACTATAACGTTACCATGTGATGGAATTATAACTTTATGTCCTGTTGTTCCTGTTAATGGGGCTGTGGCCATTGTTAGAAGAGTTTGACCAGGTAAAATTGATATATTTTCAGCAGTAATGCTTGAAGAAGGAGCGATTTTCAATTTTGTTCCTTCTGTTATGATCTTGCCCATAAGCATTTCCTTTGGGGGGTCCTCTCCAAAGAGTCTTCTCTTAGCACTCCCTGCGGTAGGAGAACTGTAGCGTTCATGGACAGAAATTGGAGACAATGGTTGCATATCTAAAAAAAAAATAATAAATTTAAAACAGAAATGTATTCCAAAATAACAAATTAGGTTTACTCATTCACTCAACAGATAGTGAGTTGAGATACTTATGCTGGGCACTAGCTAGATATGAATAACATGGCCTTTGCCCTCATGGAATATATAGTCTACTGGGAGAAAGAGGCATGAAATAAGTCACTACGGTAAAACGTGAAAATTACGATCACTCATCTTCCTGGTTTCTTGAACCTCTGCCTAAATTAAAGGAGCAAAACATTAAGGATAAAGTAGAGGTTGAGAGGTAGAATGATGTGAGCACTAAATTTTAGTAATAGTCCAATATCTCCCAATCATACCTAGTAAAGAGCACCTGAGAAGAAGGGAAGCAAAAGCAAAATCAGGAATTTGGGTCACAGTTTTGCCTCTTTGTGCATATTTGCACTCCCAGCAATTTAAGACAGTAGCTCTGGCTTTCTAATTTAGTAGATATGGAATCATCTTCAGTAAATCCATCAGAAGATATGAGTAAAGATGATATAAATCTGCTTACCTTGCCTTAATCTGAAGGTTGGCAGTAGTGTGTTGATCAAAAATAAAGTAAGGATTATGGATTTTGCCTTTCTTCCTGTGCTATCCTTTCACAGGATCTGCTTTCCATTCCCTCCCTACCAGCTGCACGGCTTTTTCTAGCCCCTTACAACCCTACATCTTTTCTAAATCTTTTTCCACAATTCTTCCCTCAACCAATGATTCCTTACAGGTAGGTCAATAATATGCTTTTAAAGCAAAAGTATTTATTTATTTATGAGAATGGAGTCTCGCTGTCACCCAGGCTGGACTGCAGTGGTGCAATCTCAGCCTACTGTGACCTCCACCTCCTGGTTCAAGCAATTCTCCTGCCTCAGCCTCCCAAGTAGCTGGGACTACAGGCGTGTGCCACCGTGCCTGGCTAATTTTTCTATTTTTAGTAGAGACAGGGTTTCGCCATGTTGGCCAGGCTGGTCTTGAACTCCTGACCTCAGGTGATCCACCTGCCTCATTTGGGATTACAAGCTTGAGTCACCATGCCCAGTCTTCATTATTTATTTTTACATTCACTAATTAGATAGTCATGTAATCTACTTTCTTTTTCTTTTTTTTGAGATGGAGTCTTGCTCTGTTGCCCAGGCTGGAGTGCAGTGGTATGATCTCAGCTCACTGCAAGCTCCACCTCCTGGGTTCACACTATTCTCTTGCCTAAGCCTCCCGAGTAGCTGGGACTATAGGCGGCCACCACCACACCCAGCTAATTTTTTGTATTTTTAGTAGAGATGGGGTTTCACCGTGTTAGCCAGGATGGTCTTGATCTCCTGACCTCGTGATCTGCCCACCTTGGCCTCCCACAGTGCTGGGATTACAGGCATGAGCCACCGTGCCTGGCCCTGTAATCCATTTTCAAAACATGCTTAAAAGGTATTAAAATGACCCCTAGCGATGATTTAGAAGCTCTCTGTATTAGTGAGGTGATTGGGAAAATAGTAACAGTTTAATAAAAATCTTTCCATAATTCTTGGGCTTATGAAAGTAGCTTTTACTTCCCGTCTTCAGTAAACAAGTGCAAATTTCTATAGTAGTTTCCATTACTCCTTTACAAGAGTTCATGTGAATGCCTCATATCTAAGAAATCCACGTAAGCCCTTGAATCTGACTAGGTACATTCAAAGGTGACATTTCAAGGCAAGACTCGAGCTGAAGCCATAAAGTTAGCTGCAAATCCCTTGAAATGATCTTTACTATTCTTGGTAAGTTTTTAAAAAAGAAAATAATTCCCAATATTTTGAAAGTTTTAAATTATAGTATACTGAATATTTTTACTGTTTTTTCGTTTATCTAAACATTAATAACTGACAGTAAGAAGAGCCTTTTTTTGTTTAACATTTTGACAAGATTTGTAAAGGTCAAAAAACAATTATAATTATTCCCAATAATTAAAATTACTGAGTATTCACATCTTATGCAATCTTGTTTTTTTTTTTTTTTTGAGGACGGAAGTTCATTGACGCAGGCTGAGCGTATGTGGGCACAGTTCTAGGCTCACTGCAACCTCCATCCTGGGTTCCGCAATTCTTTCTTGCCGTCACCTTGTTCTTGCCTTCCAGTAAGCTGGACTACAGGGGGAACTGCCATGTTGGGCTAATTTTTGTCTATTTAGTAGGGGACTGTTTCCACGTGTGTTTGCCCGGCTTGGTCTTGAACTCCTGAGCTCAGGCAATCCGCCTGCCTCCGCTTCCAAAAGGTGCTTTAGGAATTAGGTGGGTAAGCACGCGCCAGGTTTTTTTTTTTTGATGATGATCTTGCTTCTATGCCAGGGCTGGTACCAGGTGGTACCATCGGCTGCTCAGTGCAACTCATCCTGGTTTCAGAGAATTCTCGCCTTAGCCACCTGAGCAGTTGGATTAAGTGGTCGTACCCATGCCTGCGTAATTTTAGTTTTTTAGTAGGAGGAGGTTTCACCATGTTAGCCAGTTGGTCTGAATCGCTGGACCTAGATGATCACCTGCGATCTGGCTCTCAAAGTTGGCTGGATTACGAGGGTGTGGAGCCACTATGCGCTGACTTTATGCCTTACACAATCTTTTTTTTTTTGGGGGTGGAGTTCTCGGCTTTGTCACCCGGTAGAGGCAGAGGTGTGTGCTCAGCTCACTGGGCAACTCCATTCTTCAGGTTTTCAAGTGATTCTCTGCCTCAGCCTTCCCGAATGCTGGATACGCACTGTGTTTTGTATTTTTAGTAAGTGGTTCTCATTTTGGCCAGGTGTCTTGAGTCCTGGACATCATATCCACGCCGCTCGGCCTCCAACGGTGCTGGATTACCGGGTGGCACTGCGCCCCGGGCCGTAAAACCACAATTTTTATTATTTGTGGACATGAGGTCGTGTTTCGGACTCTATATCCACCACGGTTTGGGCGTTCTCTGTGTGTCGCTCTGTGTGCGTGCACTGGTTCCCTCTGCTGGTGTTTAACCGCCCTGTGTTGATTTCTCGCTGCCTCAGCGCTCTGAGGTAGGTGGGATTACGGGTGCTGCCACATCAAAGATAATTTTTTTTTTGTGTTTGAGTAGGATGGTTTTATTATGTTGCTAGGGTTGGTCTTGGACTCTGACCTCAGGTGATTGCCGCCTCGGCCTCACAAAGTTGCTCGGATGATACATGTGGTGGAGATCGATTGTGCTTCTGGGCCTGGCCGGTCAGCTTTGGTTA